TATATATATATATATATATATATATATATATATATATATATATATATATATATATATATATATATATATATATATATATATATATATATATATATATATATATATATATATATATATATATATATATATATATATATATATATGTGTGTGCGTGTGTGTATTATATACTATATCTGTGTGTGCACGCATGTATTCATGTATGTATATGTGTGTATGTTACATATGATAGGTCTCAAACTCGATTCCTGGAGGGCCGCAGCTCTGCACAGTTTAGCTACAACCCTAATCAAACACAGCTGATCCAACTAATCAAGGTGTTCAAGACTAATCGAGTCTATTAAGCAAGCGTGAGTTGGGGGTGGTTAGAGCTGAACTATGCAGGGCTGTGGCCCTCCAGGAATTGAGTTTGAGACCATTGTTATATACTATATAACTTGATAATTTACCACTTGAAAATATTCACTTCTATGCAATTTTCTGCAATTTGTATGCAATTGTTTTGTTGAAAATGTTGTCTTTTTGATAATACCCACCTGCATTTAAGTGGTGATACAACTTAAACAGAGAATAAAATACTTTTTTTTGTTTAAAGATTATTATTTTTAATTTTGATACAATACGCTCATATTTTCAGATCCCAAATTTAGGTGAAAATCCTCAAAAAATGCTTGCGGTGTCTGGCAACTTATTTTAAACAAACTGTCAGGGAAATCGTTCAAGACACAATGAAACCAAAATAGTCATTCCTTTTTAAAACATTCCCTTTAACATTTGCATCATATATAAATGATTGATTTGTTCAGACCTGTGTTTGCTGGAGCAGCAGGAGGAGCAGGAGCGGCGGCTGGTTTGGAAATCTGCTGTGGGGGGTTTGATTGCGGCACTTCAACATCTCCTGAAACAGACAATCCTTCATTAGGATGTGAATAAACTGCAGTGAGGCTGAAGTGAGTGATGTGTGTGATGTAAAGCAGCACCAGGAGGAGGCGGCAGCGAGCGCAGGTCCACCATCTCCCCTCGGTCCACAGCCTCCACCACTGAGTCTAACGTCTAGGAGAAAGGCAACAAAACACTGCTCAGTTCTGTTTACTTGTGGCAGCATTTATATCATCCAGACAAAGCAAATACAGTAGCCATGTGACATAATATTTACATTCAAAACATGCACTACATTTAATAAAATGTATTATAAATCATTTGTTCCTGTGATGTACAACTTAATTTTTAGCATCATTACTCCAGTCCTTTTAATGTGTCCCCTGAATGAAATGTAAACACACAAATGTAAAGTAAGAGTAAATTAAACTTATTAATGTTTACCTTGGACACGTGGTAGAGTTGTTTGGCTTGTTCAGTGTTTCCGCTCTGTTTGGCCTTTATGGCTGCCAGCTTGTACTCTCTCTGTCTGCTCAACACACTGGCCTTTAGCTCTAAAACCCAAATGAACAGCATTAAGGGGACAGCAGAGGCTTTTAGAAAATGTATATTGTGTGTGTGTATTTGTGTGTCAGTGAGTGCATGTGCATGTACCAGAGTGCTGTGCGTTGGGCTGTGCGGGTGTGAGTGGTGATATGGCTGGCGTTTCTGGAGTCAGAGCCGTGACTCTCTGTGCTGGAGGCTGGAGAAGCTGAGGTTTAGGTGGAGCTGCGGGTCTGCTGTCCTGCAATGGCTTCTCATTGGCTGTCTGCGGTAGAGCAGGTGCTTCCTGCTCTCTGATTGGCTCGGCTGGAGTAGCAGGGGTGGATTTTCCACCGGTAGCCACAGGAGGAGGAATCTCCTCTTCATTGATTGGCTTGCCCTTTTTAACTGAGGCCAGCATAGACTGAAGAGTCTGAAAAAAAAAACAGTCAAAACATGTAAACAAACAACTCTGAAATCCCCAAAACGTGATGGATAATGTTAAGTGAGAATGTCTGTAATAATATATAATGATAACTGTAGGTGTGCATATTTAGATTCTTGGTTCTGACGCGTTTGTTCCTTGAACGGGTCGATAAAAAAAATTAAATATCTATACTTTTGCAAATAAAGTTGGATTTCCAATTCATTTATTGTCCATTTTGTCAAAAATAAAAAGGTAAACAAAAATAAACAAACCTATTCTCACATCTATAACATAAAAGTTTGTTTGACCCTTTTCTACGCCCGTCTGCTCATCTTTAGGGGAGCATTAATACAATAAACACCATCTAGTGGTGATATGTCAGACTATACTTGGCATTATTTTCATTACTGGCCTAAAAGTGTTTTTCAGAGTTAATCTTTGAAGCAAAAAGAAAAAAAGAAATTAACAAATAAAGTGAATCCTATTTGTTTGTTAAATATGTTTTAAATATAATTTTTATTTCAATATTTCACATCATATATAAACAGTTGAAGTCAGAATTATTAGCCCCCCTGTTAATTTTTTTAACTAGGCAGATTAAGGTAATTAGGCAAGTTATTGTATAATGATGGTTTGTTCTGTAGACAATCGAGAAAAAATTTTTTAGCTAAAAGGGGCAAATAATTTTGTCCTTAAAATGGTGTTTAAAAAATTAAAAACTGCTTTTATTCTAGCCGAAATGAAACAAATAAGACTTTCTCCAGAAGAAAAAATATTATCAGACATACTGTGAAAATTTCCCTGCTCTGTTAAACATCACTTGGGAAATATTTAAAAAAGAAAAAAAATCAAATAATTCTGACTTCAACTCTATATAGTTTTTATATTAGCATTAGTCATCCAAACATTCTCACCTTCAGTCCTCGGTCGTATCGCCGCACCTTACTGCTTTCTCCGGCAGCTTTGGCGTTGTTTATGGCCGTCTGGTACATATCCAATCGCTCCTGCAGGCGAGACTCCAGACTGCCTGATGCATTCTGGGATACAGGCTGTGGCGCTACGTTTGAGCGTTGAGGAGGCACTGGGGACGGAGGAGGTTTTCTGACCACTTCCTCCTCATCATCTTCCAACACTTCATTTAACTCCGCCTTAAACACAGCAAATATATTTAAAGGGGACCTATCATGCTCCTTTTTACATGATGTAAATCAAGTCTCTGATGTCACTAGAGTGTGTGTGTGTGTGTGTGTGAAGCTTCAGTTCAAAATAGCACACAAATAATATTTATAACTCTTTGAAACTGATCCTTTTAGGCTTTGATCCTAATTATGGTGTTTCAATGACTGTCGCTTTAAATTGAATTGAGATTGTGCTCTTTTCAAAAGAGGGCGGAGCTACAAATGCCTGTGTGTCAGCATAGTGGTGAATTCAAAAACTATAATGAGGGAGAGATGATCACTAGTGGGCGGGGCTTTTCTCACTCTGATGACACAGACTAAGGGAGAATGTCAATTAAAGTCAATTATTAGCCCCTGCTGTGCAATTTAAGTAATTTTTCGATTATTTCTGTAATCATAAGAGCAACTGTTTTGATTTTAATGCATTTAATTAGTTCAGTTATTATATTAATTTGAGGTATATTATTGACTAATATGCAAATGTTCTGTGATGTATGTAGAATACAGTTTGTAAAGTAATTTTTTTGTCTTTTAGTAGATTTGCTTAGTGGATCTAATTAGATTTACATTGTAAATCTGTTAATAATCTCATTTACATTGTAAAAATAAGTTATTATTTTTTAATTAATGTTTTAAGTTATTAGTCACTATACTGCCAAAATCATTCTGCATAAATCTGCTAATTTATTATTATTTGTTTTTAAACAAAATTCTGCACAGAAATAGCAGCAAATGCATGCAGAATTTGTTTGTTATATCTAATGTAACAGAAGACATGAAGTGTTTTTGTCTCACCAGGAGATCAGCATCGTTCTCCAAATCTCCATCCTCGTCTCCGTCCTCGTCCAGATCTTTCATACAGAGAGCTGCCATTCGCTCAATGTCCTCCATCGCCACTGGGGCTAAAAATAAGCAATTAAATAGGAAAAAAGCAGTGGTTTATCTGGTTTTGATGGTTGTTAAGTGATGTCATATTTACATCCTATTTAGTTCCTCACCTTTTCCTCCAGGTTTCTTGCCCCCGGCTCCGCCTCTACCTCCACCTCCTCCACCCATCAATGCCATAAGCTCTGCCTCCAGCTCCGCCTCATTTCCTCCAGAATCGTCCAATCCGCTGTCAGGAGCCAAATCCAGCAGCAAACCCATCTGATTACATGTAGAGATGGAGAGACAGCGTTATTTTGGTAAACCTGAGGATATATTCTCAGAATTTCTTTTGCTAAGTTATTTTTGTTTTTTATTACATTCATTTATTCAAAGGTCACCACAGTGGAATGAACCTCCAACTATTCCAGCATAGGTTTTACACAGTGCATGCACTTCCAGCTGCAACTCAGTATTGGAAACACCCATACACTCATTCATTCACACACACACACACACACACACACACACACACACACACACACACACACACACACACACACACACACACACACACACACACACACACAATTTAGTTTATCCAATTCACCTATACCACATGTGTTTGGACTGTGGGGGAAACCGGAGCATTCGCAGGAAACACAAGGAGAACATGCAAACTCCGCACAGAAATGCCAACTGACACAGCCGAGATTCGAAACAGCAACCTTCTTGTTGTGAGGAGAAGGTACTAACCCCTGAGCCACCCATTTTAATTTCATTCATAATTTTTTTCTTCAGCTTAGTCCCTTTATTCATTAGGGGTCACCACTGCGGAATGAACCGCCAACTCATCCAGCATATGTTTTACACAGCGGATGCCTTTCCAGCGGCAACCCATCACTAGGAAACATTTTAAGTACATGTTTTACTTAATTATTTAAAATTGCTATAATTTTAGTTTTAATTATTTACAGTATTTTAGTAAAAAAAAAAACAATGAAAAATGCTGCCCTGATAAGTAAAATAAAAGCATTTTAATTATATTTTGTAAACAAGTTGATTTTTTTCCCTAGTAACAAAATGTTTATATATTTAATGATAATAATCTTTTTTCTTATTGCATGTGTTGTGAAATTCTGCTAAATTACACTTACATATACATACACACGTATTCATACACGTGCGTGTATTTTTATTTATTTATTTTTTAGTTTCGGCACTATAGTACTCCAGGTTAAACTAAATATTAAAATCTAAATTTTATCATAAGCACTTGAAAAAACAGATAATTATTCTGTCTGAGGATTTTGTATTATTTTAACAGGACATTTTAGATTCTATTTCTATCTAATAGAGGAAATGTACAATGCTGTACTTATTTAGTTTTACAAGAGAAAAACATGTTACAAATTACAACTGGCCTGGTGACAACACAAATATCTGGGTCATATATAAATAGATAGACAGACAGACAGGCAGAAAGATAGATGGATGGATGGATGGACGGACAGACAGACTGATGGATGGATAGACAGATGATAGAGATGGATGGATGATAGATAGATAGATAGATATTCAATTGGCTGCATCACTGTCTCCTCTCCACCAATCAGCTGGTGTGTGGTGTGCGGTCTGGCGCAAAATGGCTGCCGTCGCGTCATCCAGGTGGATGCTGCACACTGGTGGTGGATGAGGAGATCCCCCCCACTATGTAAAGCGCTTTGAGTGCCCAGAAAAGCGCTATATAAATGTAAGGAATTATTATTATTATTATTATTATTATTATAGATAGATAGATAGATAGATAGATAGATAGATAGATAGATAGATAGATAGATAGATAGATAGATAGATAGATAGATAGATAGATAGATAGACAGACGGACGGACGGACGGACGGACGGACGGACGGACAGACGGGAAGATAGATGGATGGATGGATGGATGGATGGATGGATGGATGGATAGATGGATGAATGGATGGGTGGGTAGATAGATAGATAGACAGACAGCACTTTCTCTAGATTTGTGTATTTTTCATCAAAAAATAAAAATTGTTGTGAGCTTTTTAAAAATAAAGTAACAAAAAGGTTCCACTTATATATTTTTAGACAATTAAATGCTGATGTTGTAATAAACTTGAGGAAAAAAATAATGAGGAATTTAGTGATTAGAAAATTACTGTAATAAAAGACTCAGCAATTATCAGCCACATTACACTCCTAGTTCCGCAGCAGTTATTTACTTGAGACACAGTGCTAACTCATCTTGTTCATCACCTGTTTGGCCCTGGCGGCCCCTTGGCCCTTCTGCGGAGGGTTCCTGCTTCGACTCATCTTCTCCGCAGCTTCTCAAACCTGGAGAGACAACAAAATATATTGAGTTATAATACAACAAAACAGCAATTACATCAAGAACAGCCATTCAGCAACACAACAACCAGCCAAACCAGAACAGACAGGCGTCATGACGCATTCCTAAATCATTGCGTGACGTTTGCATAATTCATGCTTAGACAGAATAAACAGCAAATATATATCATTAAGTGTGATATAACCCTCTCAGACATTATTAAGCTTAGTATAACTGCCTACAACCGAATGTTTCAGCAGTATTGAACATGCTAATGTTTACATGTTTGAACAAGACAATCTACAGCGCGCATTTAGCTGATTTTGCAGCAAAATAGTTTGAAGCAACGCTTAACTAACCCTATAATAAAATCAAACTCACTTACAATATAAATGATGACGTGAACAACTCATTTAAGTCAAAGTGGCAGCTAGCAAGGAGGCTAGTTTTTACATCAGACTGTCCTTACTAGTAATTTGAACGAGATACCTGAATCATATGTTCCCCAGGGGGCGGGTTACGGTGCAGATAACGGTTCCGTGAGGAAGAATAAGCTGCCTGTTATTAAGTTTTTGCATACGAGAGTCATAAAAACAGAGGTAAACAGAGATCTGCACTGCTGTCAATGAAGATTCAGCACTTCCTGCTTTTCGCCAGGTTTCTCATAGCAACGGGAGCCTCGCGCTTTACGGCACACAGGAACGCCCAACGGCTCCGGTACTTGTAGTTCAACCGACAGTCTGTCAATGTACTGGATTCTTAAGTATTTTTTTACGGTTTGTCGTGTAATTTCTCGTTATGTCTGAGAAAATGTGGTGAAAACTATATTTCTTTAATGTGGTAGCTTTCGCGCTCAAATGTGGTTAGGTAGTTTAATCATGTCAGCTTGATTATTCCTCATTAATTTGCGTTTAAAACTGTTTATTTGCTTTATTCACGTTGATAATGGATTATAAGAAAATATTTAACTAAACTGACTTAAAGGAGATCGAAAGTAATACATAAATCAAACATGAAATCAGTTTTGCTAATACTTTTTTTTTACTCACCTAACGTTAGCTGAATCTGGACTGAAACGAGAAAATGCCCAAAAGAAAATCAAAGACTACAGGTAACTTACATTCACAAGAACATACTGTTATTATCTTTCATTCACCCAACTTTAATTCATCTTAATTGGAGATATGATAATAACTATTTAATGTTCAAGTAAAGACACACAATGATGTACATAATTGGGTTTAAACAGTGCTCAAAGCACCCAAGAGGACACAAACCAGAGCAAAGCAACAGAAAAGTGCTGAGGAAACAAATCTGCAGTCTGTTGAAGAAAATCAGGTGATCACATGCACTGACATCAATATCGGGCGGTTCTAGACTAGAGTAACTGGGTGGGCTGGGCAGGGACCACTTGTACTTTTAGGGAGCACACATCAACATACATCACAAACTACCTAAACAATTGTTCTAAGTTTTTTTTTTTCATGCATCACTCTGCAGTCTTTATAAACAAGCTAATTAAATAACTTGTACTCAAAATAATCTTCCATGTTAATTTATTTGACAAGTAACTTTATATTGTAGGATAACACATTTTTGACATTCAAGTACATCAAGGCACATTTTTGCACCTGTAAACTTTAACAGATACATTTCAAGTCATTTTTTTGCCGTCTCGTTAATTTGAAATAATGTTTCCCAAGTGATCTTTAACATACAAGGAAATTTTCACAGTATTTCCTGTAAAACAAAAATAATTCTTCTGTCATAACAAGTCTTATTACTTAGTTTGTTTGGAAAAAAATAAGTTTTTAATGTTTTAAAAAACAATTTTAAGGTCAGTAGCCTAGTAATTATTAGCCATAAGAGATATTTACTGTGCTAAACTGAACTTAAACACTGAAAACTGAACTACACTGTTTCAATTTACTATAATCTTCTACAGCACAGGTGTCAAACTCTGTTCCAAAAGGGCCGCAGCTCTGCACAGTTTAGTTCCAACCCTAATTAAACACACCTGATCAAACTAATTGAGTCCTTCAGGCCTGTTTGAAACCTACAGGTAAGTGGGTTGGAACTAAACTGTGCAGGGCTTCGACCCTCCAGGAATTGAGTTTGACACCCCTGTTCTACAGTATGTGAAGCAGCTTTGACGATCTACATTGTAAAAGCGCTATACAAATAAAGGTGAATTGAATTGAATATTTTTTTTTATTTTCTACACAACAAATCAGTTATACAACAATTTGACTAATTATTCTAACCTTCCTAATTAACACTTTAATCTCAATACAATTAGTAAAAAAATAAATAACTAGTAAAATATTATGCACCATAGTGTCACCATGGGGAAGATAAAAAAGTAGTTTTTAGAAGTTAATTAAACTATTGTGTTTTAAAAAGTGTTGTAAGAAATCATGTGTTGAAGACTCTTGCTTTATATCATGACTGAAAACAAATATGAATAAAGGCAAAACTAAACGGGTTGAATATTACGTTTACGTGACTAAACAACTACATTTTATCAATGTGTTACATCTGTTCTCTGGTACTTACCAACTGTTTGTAAATTCAAGACTGCAATTCCTAACGTAAAACTATGTACATTCAATTTCTGATTAATTATAGCCTCTGCATAGCCGATGACTTTCTATACTAAAAGTTTTAAAATCGCTTTTGAAAACAAAAGTCTAATATAATCAACAGTGGACATTTTGATTGACATTTAAATGTGTGTTTCCTTTTTTAATTCACTCATTCTTCTTCTTAATGTCCACATTTAGACGTCAAAATCAGAAAACAACTCCCACAATGCATCATGCTCATACAAGCTGGATGAGCCTCAAGTTGAACATAGTGCATTACAAGTAATTCAGACAACAGAATTCCCCAATGATCCCGGCTGTTCCCTGGAAATAAAAACAAGCCGCGATGATAATGATGATGATGGAAATAACACAAATCCACCTGAGGTCTCTCATGAGAATGAACAAACTGCAGTGATCACAATGCAAACACCAGATCCTGAAAACAGTGCCAAATACATCCTCTCCAAACCTATAAATGTGCAAACAGCCAATGTAGATCAGTGTAACACAGAGCTGGATGATGACGAGAGTGAAAACACAAACAATTCAAACCACGAGTCTCAGAAGATTCCAGACTTTCACTCTGAATTACTTGACTTATCATCAGACGAAACTGGGATTAAATTGCCACATGAGGATGTTATTGCATCCAAAATGGCGGAGCAATTGGGATCTTCAGATATCATAGCTCAGACCAAAGATGAAGGTTCTGCAGATCCTTTAGTAAAGAGGAAAAAAAGAAAGAGAATGGGAATGTGCAGGCTTGGAGAAAGAAAGAGGATGGTTAAGGAACCGATGACTAGCAGAGGACAGGAAGACGAGACAAGAGAAGTTATCAGTGAGGATGGTTTAAGTAAAGTTAACTCCAACAATTCTTTCAAAAATGAGAGCAATACAGAGATGGAAATTGCAGAGATCTCCTCCCTAAACGCTTGCTCTGTTGAAGATGTACAACCAGATGTTCAGCATGGAAATGAACTTCAGATATTGGTTGAAAGCATGTCTAGGGTGGAAGAAATTACACATAAAGTTGACCCAACAACCATGCATCATGCTGATTCTGATGCTCTTGAGCGAAACAAAGTTGAATGCATGGATCATGGTGTTCATGAAGGAAATATTAGAGTAGATCCACTGTTGTGCGCTGAAATGTGCAAGGAAATCACAGCTCAGATTGGTAGCATGGCAAATGTAGATCTTGAGGAGGAGTCTACCAACGTTTTGGATGAAGAAGCAGTTTTAAAAGAGGCTGAAGCTTCAGGATCTACTTCTGAGGTTGCTAATTATTTTGAACAACATGTAAGCGGTGAACCTTCCAGTCCCCATGGATGTGACAAGTATGCCTGTGTTAGTGAGCAGTGTGAGGAGTTCAATGATTTCATAGATCATAAGACGTTAATGAGTGATATAGGAGAGATGTGCGAGTCTTTGGACGATGCTCTGGTTTCTGCTACAGTATCTGCTGAGAGCAAAGCAAACTGTGAGGAAAGAAGCACGTGGAGTTTATCTTTGCCTCCAGCTCCACCTGGTGGTGAAGATAAAGATGTGCAAGTGAGTTTTTACAGAACACCTAAAGCAGGGGTGTCAAACTCTGGTAATGTTTCTGGAGGGCCGCTGTCCTGCACTGTTTAGTGCCAACCCTGCTCCAACACACTTACCTGTAGATCTCAAACTAAATTAGTTGGATCAGGTGTGTTTGACTGTGCAGAGCGTCGGGCCTCCAGGAACTGAGTTTTGACACCTGTCACCTAAAGAAACAGTTTAGAGAACAATTAATATTCAGTTACCACATGCAAAACATGAAAATGTGATCATTTCTTCTCTCCCAAGTTTTTAAAAATTTTGAAAAACTTCATGAAATTCTTCTTTCTGCTGAAAACAAGCAAGGTATTTTAAAGAATCTGACTTGTAGTTCATTGATATTTCATCCTTTGTTGATTCATACTGGATTTAGGGACTTAAGGCAGAGTAAACAATGAACTTTCACAGTTTAAGGTCCTAAGAAATGGTGTAAACTTGACATGTAGACTTTTATACAGTGGCATAACAGACGGGCTCGTGATAATCCGCCCACACATTTAACGTGACACCACTTCTTTAATGTAGTGTGTTCGCAAATATGACAGATCAAGCTTGCTTTTGACATTATTATGTTGTATTCGATGGTTTTGTCCCTTTATTAATCTGGGACCGCCACAGTTGAATAAAACACCAATTTATTCATCATTTTTACGCAGCGGATGCCCTTTCAGCTGCAACCCATCACTGGGACACATCCATGGCCGAAATATGCTTAGCCAAGCCCCTCCAACCATTAACTTGCTCTTAGTCAAATATAAGAGGTGGAGCTTACAAAAAAAACCTTTGCTAACTCAAAATTCCAGTTCAAACAGGCTTTAAATGTATTTTTTTTTAAATTAATTAATTCATTCATTTTCTTGTCGGCTTAGTCCCTTTATTAATCTGGGTCGCCACAGCGGAATGAACCGCCAACTTATCCAGCAAGTTTTTACACAGCGGATGCCCTTCCAGCCGCAACCAATCTCTGGGAAACATCCATTAACGCATACACACACACATTCATATACTACGGAATATTTAGCCAACCCCATTTACCTGTACCGCATGTCTTTGGACTGTGGGGGAAACCGGAGCACCCGGAGGAAACCCACATGAGCGCAGGGAGAACATGCAAACTCCACACAGAAACGCCAACTGAGCTGAGGCTCGATCCAGCGACCCAGCGACGTTCTTGCTGTGAGGCGACAGCACTACCTACTGCGCCACTGCTTCGCCCTTTTATTATAAATTCCACAAACATTAACTTATAATTTAACAATACAAAAAGCAGCATAAATAATAAAAGCAGGTCTAGGTTGGATGATTATTTGAGTCAACACTGGTGACTAAAACCAAGATGAATCTTCAGTCAGTTTCAGAGAGTGATGCTTATAGACCTGCTGATGAAGAAGCTCCCTCCAGCCCTTTATCCATACAATCCCTGACTGACTCCCAGCTCAACAACATCCCCCTGAGGTGAGACGTTTCTCGTTGGCACAGAGCAATGCTTTTCTTGCTTAGAGTTTTTGTCTTGCTTCTAGACCAAATATCTAAAAATCCTGAAATCAAGAAACATTTTCTAGACAAGCAAAACACATTGCCTTGTTTTCAGAAATCATACTTCATAATTAAGTGAAAAAGGCATTAAGAAAAGCATTTTTGCGGTGTATGAATGGTTTAATGGAAAAGTGGTCAGTTTAGGAATAGGATTCATGCAACGTTTTACAATTCAAAGTCGCCATGAAATCAATATTTACTCTTCTTAGTTTTATATGTATAATTTATTATATTATATGTATCATTATTATTTTGTAAAAAATTATTTGCCCTTAAAAACTTTTATCAAATATTATAACTTTCCCCTCTCAAAACGATTTTCTTTACTTCCTGGTCATATATAATATCTTTAGGGCAGGGCTATCAGTCTTTTAAGCTGGTATTTGAGCATGCTAAATTCTGTTGTACGGCGCTGTGAAAAGAGGCGGGATTAAACAAAATGATCAGACATTTAAAAAAGCAAACGATCGGGCCATATTTGAAATTTCTGTGCAGAGAGGTCATGTTTTGATCATCGATTGGTCTCACACCGTCAAGTAATGCAATTTTGCAGGTTCACCAAGCTTGAACTTTGCAATGCAGCGAACTGCGAAACTTGACGCACGAACTTGCGTTTCCGGTCTAACGTATTCACGATCGTACGATGTAAGTCCATGAGGAGAAAATCCAGTGTGACTGCAGCTTTAGAGTTGAGCTATCAGTCCTTGAAGGCAGAGATATCTGTAATTTAGGGCAGAGCTGTCAGTCATCTTGGGAGGGGTTATTAGTTTTTTAGGGTGGAGCTATCAGTAGTTTAGGTGGTTATCAGTTATTTAAGGCAGGGCTATTAGTTATTAGGGGCAGAACTGTCCGTCATTTAGGGAGTGGTTATTAGTCCTTGAGGGCGGAGCTATCAGTAATTTAGGGCAGAGCTATTAGTAATTATTGGCAGAGCTGTAAGTCATTTAGGGAGGGATTATTAGTCATTTAGGGCGGAGCTATCAGTTATTTATGGCAGAGCTATTTGTAATTATTGGCAGAGCTGTCAGAAATTTAGGGAGGTGTTATTAATCCTGTTATCAGTAATTTAGGTGGTTATCACCTATTTAGGATGGAGCTATCAGTTGATGTCTTATTTCTGCCCTGAATGCATCCATTCATCAATCATCCTTCATACAGCTTGTAGACCATTAAGGTCCCATGATCAGTTTCTTTTATCAATCCCTCGGTCTCGCTGCAAATCAAAAGGTGATCAAGCTTTCTGTGTTGCGGCCCCAAGGCTATGGAACAGTCTCCCGTTGAACATTAGGATTTCTCCATCCTTGGATACTTTTAAATCCAACTTGAAGATGTATTTTTACTCTCTTGCCTTTGAGTGACTCATACATGTAATTTCTATACTGTGTTTTAGTATAACACATATTTCCTTTTCTTACATTTTTAATACAAGTTTTATTTTTTTATGCTCTTAAATATTTTATCTCATTGTAAAGCACTTTGAATCAACTGCGGTTGTATAAAATTGTGCTCTATAAATCAAGTTTGCCTTGACATTTTGTTAGCAACACCTTTCTTTCAACAATCTAATCAGCGCCTATAGAACAAAATCATGCACCTTCCTACATTTTGTTTCATTTCAGGACTTTTTCAAGTGGATGTACATCACGATAGCGAAAAAAATGACAATCTGAACTTGTTTTATGATGACTTTATAACCATTAAAGTGACAGTTCACCCAAAAATACAAATTCTCCTATCATTTACTCACCCTCCATTTGTTCTAAACAAGTGGAAGTTGTTTACTCTTCTGTTATACAAGAAAAATATGTATAAAGTTTTGATAATTGTTGAATAGCAGCAGCCATTAACTTCCATAATTTATTTTTTATATACTATAGATGTCAATGGCTGCTAGTCTGCAACATTCTTCACAATATCCTATTTGGTATCCATCAGAAGACAATTTAAAGGATTCTTTAGGTGAACAAATCATTCATTAGAATTGAACAAGGTGTTTTTTTTGTCTATTTTCATTGTTTATTGTGTTCAGTTTGGAGGATTTCCCCACCTCTGAAGCCTCTGGTGGTCTGGAAGACGCCTCAGAGCTGATGTCCCGTCTAATAAGAGACCTCTCCGCTCTAAAGTAAGTAAAGATAGTTCATCTAACAAGAAAATTTCTGTATTTACTCACACTCAGGTGGTTCCCAAGCTTTAGAAGTTTATTTATAACACAAAATATATTTTGAAGAATGTTAAAAACAACCTTTGACATCAATAGTAGGAAAAAACGATACTATTGAAATCAATAGTTTCTAACATTACCAGTTTCTAACATTTTTCTAAATACATTTTGTGTTCAACAGAAATATCTTCTAGTTTGGAACAACATAGTACGAGTAAATGACAAAATTTTCATTTTCCTTCTTTAAAAGTAGGACTTAAAATGGTAATTTATATTAAAACATGTACATTTGTTTTAAGTTAAGTCACTCTTCATCATAACTGATGTTTCTCTTCATCTTGCAGTCAGATAATGATGGATGCACAGAGGAGAATTGGATTTGTGCACAGAGGCAGAATACCACCAAGACCACCGCGCCGCAGCTATTACGGCCCGCCACACTCTGGCAAATAACCTTCAGTATCTTAACATGTTCTGCTAGCTACAGATTCGACTTTACAGAATAAAACTTAAACTAGATGTTTTTATAAACCAAATACTGGATAGTTTGAGTAATTTATCTGTAGTAAGTGTTAGCAATCTTGTTCATAGCTGATCAGTTATACTTTTGCTATTTGTTCATGGTTTTATTAAAGTAGTTTTTCCCCCATGTGAGGTTCAAGTAAAGTAAACATCATTACGCTGTCTATTAGAGTGTGTGCCCCCTAAACTGTAGGGTCATTACCTTAGCAACCAGTCTTGAGAGTTGTTTCAGCTAGCCGTAAATCCGTCCAAATTCCTGTTCAGGATAACACACTAATAAATGACCCTCTTGTTGTTGTTCATGTTTGATTCTGTAACTAAACACCAGATTCACCCATGAAATTCACACACACAATTTAAAGTCTAGAGAAAATGTTTATATTTTCCTCACATTTTTCACTCCATCACAAGTCAAAAATCACACACTGACATAAAATGATGAAAGTAGTACATGAATTTTAGCAAGCGACATGAAAATATGGCGATTATGTTTTTCAAACTGAATTTAAATGCAATGGAGAAAACTTTTTTTAAAGGTTACTTATACAAAACAAGCCGTTTTCAATAATAAAATCACTAAAATCTAAATATTAACATTGAATTTTTTGTTTAAATACAACACCATAAAATCTGACATTTAAAAGGAGGACTAAACACACATTGTATTTACCAAATAAGCATGAAAGGGTTTGTTTTTGAGTGCGGTTGCGCCTGTAGCGAGCCTGCTGGCTTGTGTACAAGTTTGTTACCAAGTGAAAACACAACACCAGTGCACACAAAATAAAACACAGCAAACACACACATATACACACACACAAAAAAAGTGCAAAATCAAACAGTGAACGCACACATGCATGCAAACTCGCAATCCGCCGCGTATCAACCAAACAAACAATTAAAGAGTTAAAACTTAAACATTAAAACCTGCGGTAAAAAGTGTTTCTTCAAATCTACCGGAGCATCAATGTCCGCTTCACCATGTTGATTTGGCGTACACCGAGCAGTAGTTCTTGTCCACCATCGGGCAGAATCTCTTGGTGTGCGCTTTGGCCCCGGTGGCCCCACACAGGGGACACTTGTACTGTCGGAGATACGGGCACATCACGTCTCCATCGCGGTTTTTTAAGTAGTGAGAGGTGTACACGGCCTCAGTCTCGCCGTTGTGTTTGCAGAAGCTGCAGAACTTTCTCTCTGCTGGGCTGCTCTTGGGTTTACCGCCCCCCGGGCTCGTGTTCTGCTCCGGTGAGTCGCGCGACCGAATCGGGCCGCTTGGAGACTCCAGCAGCGCGGCAGCCTGTTCGTCTGAATCCGCGTCAGATTGCATTTCTTGCCGCTTCATGCCTCTGATCATGTCCGCCAAACCCATGTAGTCCTTCCAAGGCTGAAAGTCCTGGTTTCTAGTCTCCATAGATCCATGAGCAGAAAGGATGAATTGGAGAAGAGAAAAAGCCATGTTGCTCTCCGAGCGCGCGATCAAAACAACTAGCACGCGCCGAGCACGCGTGCCTTTTAAAGGTCGCGTGCACGAGCCTGATTAATTAAAACGCGAAACTTGAAATGAGGGGAAATTGAGTGAGTTTCATTTTCAAAATGTCGTTTTAAACCCTGCTCTCAAGGTCACGAGAAATGCCAAGTCCAAATTCTAGTATTTAAGTAGTTAATTAGTTACTTGTAGTCTTTAAATTGAGTACATTTTGAGTAATTTGATTTAAAGTTGTAGCTGGTAACAGATTCTCTCAGGTTATACATGCAATTATCTGACGACTGATAATCTTTAGATTACTGTTCATCTAATTTGCTAATCACGTGTGTGTTGTGTTGTATTATAAGGACATGTAAACACAAAATGAAAGAAAAACATTATAGGTTCATTTGTTATAAACAGCATTAAAGGGATAGTTTGGCTAAAAATGAAACTTTACTCACTATTTAATCCCCCTCAAGTGTTTTGAACTCAAGTTTCTTTAGTTAAACACAAAATAAGATACTTTGAAGAATGCCAAAAACTGGTATTCAGGGCAGGCGCGTCCATAGAGGCAACCTAGTGCAGAATAGTGAGGGTGGCATCCGTGTCACATAGCGTCACTTTCGTTTTCGTTTAGTTTTGAGAATTAAACTATATCTTTATCCCTTTAAGATTGAGAATTGAACTATCCCTTTACGTTTTGAGAATTGAACTATTCATTCTAACAAATGATGGGTTGTTTTAGCCCAATGTTGGTTGTCATTTAAATTGTCGTTTAAATTTATTTAGGAAAGTTAATGTTTCTAATTATTATCATTATTAATATTTTCATCCGAAGTATTTATTCAGATTACATTTTTTGTTTTTTAAATCCTGGGTTGATTTGACCCAAACACTGCATCAAATATGGACAAACCCAACATTGGGCTACAGCAACACAGAATTTTAGAGTGTAATCTTATTATATAATCCAGATTACAATATTGTTAATGATAATAATCAGAAACTTTAATTTAAAACAGAAAATTTGAATAAAGGCATTTCAATAAAAATATTTCAGCCCTCCTGGAATATCAGTTTATCATTTCAGTTAAAAATATTTATCATAAGTCTTTATGTGAAAGGAATTATAAAGCAAAATACTGTATTAAACTGGATTATAATGGAATTAAACATTTTTAACAATAGATTAAAAAAAAAATCAGCATAAAAAAATTGAGAAAATACATACTGAACCTCTGAATCAATGCACAGATAAATAAATATCTTTAAAAAATTCTGGGTTGTTTTAACCCAACACTGGGTCAAATACAAAACCCCCAACAAGTGAGTTAAAATGTCATTTAAAACAATAAAAAAAATTTATAATAACTCACACAGCATTTGACTATTTGACCCAAAGCTAAATTAAATCAACCCGGTATTTTTGTGTACAGTAAACAGATTATTCAAATGAAATTACCATAAATTACTATTTCAGGTTTTCTGCTCGCTATGCATGTAATGGTTTGTAAAATGCTCTAGTAACTTCTTCAAGCCCTACAGCTTGCCAAAAAACATATGAATGCAGTTATTGTGTGCATTTGTGGGTGTTGATGATTAATAAGAGAAGGCGATACAAACACAATACAGTAATGCATGTCTTTATTTAATTGATTCAAAATGTGTCCCGTTGAAATGTATTTCCAGCTCTGCTTTACGCTAAAAGGGCCAGGTGTGGTGCTCCTCAGGTGACCCGAGCATCTGCTGAGACCTGACACACGAATAATCACACTTACTACAACTGTGCTTTACAATTAAAGAGACAGTTCACCCAAAAATGACAATTGTCATCCTCCACTTGCTTCAAACCTGTTTGAGTTTCTTTCTTCTGATCTGCCATTGACTTCCATAACATTTCTTGTTTCTACTATGGATGTTAATGGCAGCTATTTTCTAATATTCTTTAAAATATGTTGTTTAGTGTTCAACATAAGAAAAAATATCGAAGTAGATCTTTTATGCCCCTTTTTACAAATGTATAAGTCTCTAATGTGCCTACAGTGTTTATGTGAGGTTTCAGCTTAAACTATCCCAACACGTAATGTTTTATAACTCTCTGAAACTGACCTTTTTAGGCTTTGATTCTAATTGTGGCGACTGTCACTTTAAATTCAAAAGAGATTGTGCTCTTCTCAAAAAAGGGCGGAGCTACAAATGCCTGTGTGTCAGCATAGTGGCAGATTTAAAAACAAGACTAACATCTGATGCTAATGAGGGAGAGATGGTCACTAGTGGGCGGGGCTTTCCCCCTCTAATGACACGTACAAAGGCAGAATGTCAATCAAAGTGATTCTACAGACTGTTTTAATTAAGTCTGATTATAAGCAATAATATTAATGCAGTTTTACCATTAGAAGCTGGTTATATTCACACTGCTGCCACACAACTGTTTAAACCCCTTATAAAAGTGATTTTTGGTCCCCTTTGAAATTTTAGAAGCACTCCGGTGTGAGTAAATGAGGAGATAATGTTCATTTTTGGGCGAACTATCTCTTTAAATATGCATTATTAGACATAATAGATATCTGACCTATAATAGGGCAGTTTGAGAACAGAGTACAGCTCTGGAGTATTGGGGGTCATGACCAGGTTCTGACAGGACCCCGGCGTAACCTCTGACCCCTCAGATGATGGAGTGACACATGGAGACATGGAGAGCTGATCTGGAGCTGCTACACCTGCACACACTCACATGGTCATTATACTGTGGTACTGTGATGTCAATGCTTTGGTCATGAGGTGTGTGTGCGCATACGTTGGTCGCTGAGCGCTGTGCTCTCTCTCCGGTTCCACTGTGTGTTTTTCTTGACTGGAGAGAAATTGAGGAAGTCCGACTTCAAGCGCAAGGCTTTCTGCTGCTCAAACTCATTTTTCTGAAACAAACACACACACAGAATTACTGTGGGAACATTTATGATTATGAAGCATTAAAGTACTTAGTTGTAAAATGTAATTACGATTATTATTATTACTGATACTGTGATTTTACTATGGAAAACTGTGATGAGATATGTAAATATTTGAAATAAAATTATTTTAAAAATAATAATAATAATCAGAATAATTGATGATAAAATACATTCATGTAAATTGTATTTTAATTGAATTTTAATATTTATAATAATAATAATCAGAATAATTGATGATAAAATACATTCATGTGAATTGTATATCAAATGAATTTTAATATTTATAATAATAAAAATCTGAATAATTGATGATCAAATACATTCATATAAATTGTATAATAATTTAATTTTAATATTTATAATAATAATAATCAGAATAATTGATGATAAAATACATTCATATAAATTGTATATTAATTGAATTTTAATATTTATAATAATAATAATAATAATCAGAATAATTGATGATAAAATACATTCATATAAATTGTATAATAATTTAATTTAAATATTTATAATAATAATAATCAAAATAATTGATAATAAAATACATTCATATAAATTGTATAATTATTTAATTTTTATATTTATAATAATAATACTCAGAATAATTGATGATAAAATACATTCATATAAATTGTATAATAATTTAATTTTAATATTTATAATAATAATAATAATCAGAATAATTGATGATAAAATACATTCATATAAATTGTATAATAATTTAATTTTTATTTATAATAATAATAATCAGAATAATTGATGATAAAATACATTCATTTAAATTGTATATTAATTGAATTTTAATATTTATAATAATAATAATCAGAATAATTGATGATAAAATACATTCATGTAAATTGTATATTAATTGAATTTTAATATTTATAATAATAATAATCAGAATAATTGATGATAAAATACATTCATATAAATTGTATATTAATTGAATTTTAATATTTATAATAATAATAATAATAATCAGAATAATTGATGATAAAATACATTCATATAAATTGTATAATAATTGAATTTTAATATTTATAATAATAATAATCAGAATAATTGATGATAAAATACATTCATATAAATTGTATAATAATTGAATTTTAATATTTATAATAATAATAATAATCAGAATAATTGATGATAAAATACATTCATATAAATTGTATAATAATTTAATTTTAATATTTATAATAATAATAATCAGAATAATTGATGATAAAATACATTCATATAAATTGTATAATAATTTAATTTAAATATTTGAAGTAATTTTACTTTATTTATTAGATTGCTTTAAATGGAACTTAATAACTTTTAGTGATGTTATTTCCTAACAAATAGCAGTATAATCAGATAAAATGTTTTGGAGCTTGACATATAATATACACCAAAAATATACACCATATATCAATTATAAAAATGTCCATGACTTAATATTTTAGTTATTCTTATGTCGTTTCCAGGTCTAGAAATAACACTTGCATATTTTCCTTGTATATACAAACTCTTTAATATGTTTCAGGAGCACGCAACACTCATGTTAGTTCTATAAAAGTTAGTTGTTAAAGGGCACCTATGATGAAAATCATCTTTGTCGGCTGTTTGGACAGGACTGAGTGTAGGTATAGTGTCCACAGTCATAGAAACACAATAAGTCTCTTTAAAATTCCCTAAAATAGGATCCAAATTGCTAGCATTTTGAGGCCGACCGCAACGTGACGTATGAGTGCAGTTTCCCCGCCCACTGAATTAATTGACAGCCACGTATTACCACATGTCTTTGTAGTAATGCGTACGATCATATTAACAAAGATAGGAATGTGCGGGATTAACATATCTGTCCAGATCTCTGTGATCATCAGTCATCATCGAATGTGATCAAGAATGAGTTTAAAACGTCTTTAAATCAGTGCATGTTTGTAATGAATTAGTCTTCTCAGCTGCATGTCAGCACAATTACAAAAGACGCTTCAATCCCGGTTTGTTGACGTTAAAAAAGGTTTATTTTGTGCTTCAACATAATGCATATCCATACAGCAGTGCATATTAACCTG